CAGAATCTAGAGATCCCTATGCAGATTGTGGCTGTATTGCCTTAAGTGGATATTATTCCTGCCCAATTGCTGTGGGGCACTTAGAGGCCAAATACATAAACTGTTGAAAAAGGAGATTTGAGGAGTTCCTGGGAGAAGGGCCTGGTGGGAATGGATCGGCCTCCAGCAACGCCAGAACTGCTGTCTGCTGGGAATGTGAAGGTATGTCAGCCGAGGGAGCGCTCGGCCTGCCCTGCCCCGTCTGCAGCAACGGGCTTGCTGGGAAAACGAGTGGCTGTTCTGGGCATGCCCCCTCCTCTACCGGCAGCCCGGCAGCCCGCTTCTTGGGGCCAGGGAGGGAGGTGAGCGCCTGCACGGGGAGGAAGGCCCACGGGAGCTGGAAGTCTTGGAGAACAGACCCCCCAGCCTCATCCTATCTTCCAGTCCAAAGTAACCATTTGCCTGTTGGAGGGGAACGTTGGGGACAATAACAGATGCTTATAAAGGGATGCAGCGATACCAACGGCTCCTTTGCTGATGTGGTTATGGGCTGAGCCACTCTTTGTGCTCAGGCGGACAAACGTGATGAGAAAAGGTTCCAGGGAGCGGCTCCACTCGCCGTCCGACTCAGTGAAGGTTTTGATAATTGAGCAGATAGATACACACGCCACGTAGGCTTGATTTGGATACAAGTGTCTATAACCAATACATTAAAAGTCTTTTCTAGAGCATGAGACAACATTTAGTTCTAAAAATCTTTTTGAATCACATTAACGCTGACCATTGTAATGCACTCTAATGCAAAGGGATCGATAGCCTTTACACCACGGCTGGTTCATTGTACGCAGCGAATGAATAATACAGAATTTAGTGCACTTAACAGCCCAGTATTGGCCTTCATGGCTGGAATAAATCAGAATGCCTTTTGCATTTCCTGAAAGATAGTGCCACAAGTTGCGCAGCCAGAACGACTATTTATTCTTCAACCAATTAATTGTTTCTTTCTTAAATAAAATATTTGCAATCGATTTTCATGTTTTTGTAAAACATCTGCCTCTTCAAATATTTGCTGTGAACCAAAGCTCCTGAATTTGTTGCTAGAATGCAATTGAATAGAATTGTTCATGGAATAGAACTTGAACAATTGAATAGAAATTGTTCATAACGTAAATCTGAACGACAGGAATCGCATTGTTCGTTATTTACAGGGAAAGTTACCTCAGAATATATTTCATATTGCTCTTGCTGGTAGTAATTAATATGTTACGGTAATAGCAAGAGTCTCCGGGTCAAATCAAGGCCCCTGCTGGGTGGAGTAACCGAAGCAAAAGTCCATTTCATCCTCAAGTTCTTCACTCCGCATTTGGCAATGTTAAATCCTACGTTCAAGAGGTCTTGCCTCCAGTTGCATCTTTATTTCTAGTCGGAATTTTACCTTGACCCTGGCACGGAAGGACATTAGTTTGTGCTTCTGCCTACCCAGAAGGAAAACAAATTAACATTCCCAAGAAGGAAACTGGAAGTGGATGTTTATTTGTCTTGTTGTCCTCGTATCCTACTTCTCTGAGTCACAAAGAGTAAACACTTGGCTGGGTACCCTATAACTAGGCTGGGGAAGAATTTTTGTGTGCTACGTTGCTTATTTTTAGTTACCGCCAGAGTGCTGCAGCGAAGCCTTGAGATGCAGCGGAAGCCGTTAAACTGAAATAAACTAATTTACAAAAAAAACAGCCTTTTTTTTTTTTTTTTTTAATTTAGAAGGTAAAATTCAGCTATAAATTCCAGTCCATGTATAATACCGAGACGGTACATAAACTGTGGAGCACAGCGGCTTTGAAACGGCCACCGCAGCTCGAGCACAGCGTTTCTGCGCTCCTGCCCGGCAGAGGCGTTAAGCATCCCGTAAAATCCTGCCCAAACCGGGCCCAGCGCGCGCCCCAGGTTGGGAGAGGCCAACCATCCCCTTGCAATCCGCGGTCGAAGGACAGAAATTGGGTTTGCAGTGATTTACCGAAGAAGTCACCTCACGGGAGGCTGTTAAACCAGCCTTAATTCGGAAGCGCAGTTCGCGCCCCTGCAGCGCTCTCTGAGGGGGCTCTGCCTTCCCCTCGCCCTCCCCGGCCCTGCGGGGCCGGCAACGCGGGAGCAGCCCCCCGCCTGCGCTCGGGGCGGGAGGGGAC